GAGAGAGAGAGAGAGAGAGAGAGAGAGAGAGAGAGAGAGAGAGAGGTGAATGTGTGGTGAAAGGCGTGGAGGAGGGAGGGAGTTGTGTGGTAACAGACATCTAAGCTAAGGCCGTTTCCATGGCTAGAAGATGAACAGATATTTGTAGCAGGGAAAACAACTCTCCACCCACTCTCTTACCCCACCCAGGGTGGATCTGAATAGGACTTTTTGTCCACCTCTAGTCTATTTTCTACAAAGCAGCTCATCTTTCTTCAACATAAATTCAATTATTAAACTTCTCTGCTTAAAATCCTTCAATCCAGTCCCACCTTACTCATAGTAAAACCCAAACTATGACTCTAACCTACAAGGCCTTATATAATCTTCTCCTGCCACCTCTTCAGCTTCACCTCTGCCTGCAGCACTGACTCTCCTGCTCACACAGCCAAGACCCATCCTTGTCACAGGGCCTTTGCACATGTTAACCCTTTCCAACATGCATCAGTACTTACATATGATTGTGTCAAAAGAGCCCTCTTGGACCACCATATGTTAAGTGAATTCCCTCGTTTATCCATTTCACCATTTTATTCTCTTCAAAGTGCTAATTGCAGCTGTAATCATACAATCATACACCTTATTTGTTCATTTGTTTTCATGGGTATCTTCTTCACCGAGCTGTAAGCTTCATGAGGGCAGGAACTATATCTGTTCACTATATCTAGTGACAAGGGACTTATTTACTTAATAAATGCTTGATTATAATAATGTCCCCTTACAGTTTTCAGGGTGGCACATGCCCTACCTCAGAATGGACCTGACCTAAGATAAAGAAAAGCAGTCAGTACTTGTGATGGTTTGATGAGGCCTCTGCATAGTCAGATGTGAGCACAGGGGTCATTGAGCTCTGTTGCAATAAAAAGGTTTACTAAGGATTGTCTCTTATGAAACGTAGATGTTTAGGCATGGTTTTGAAGTAGAGGGGTGAACCAGGGGGACAACAGTGCTGTGTCCGCCTGCCATTGGAGGTCATGGTTCTCTTGAGATAAGTGGACTTTGAAAATCGAGGGGTGATCTTTGAATATCGAGGGGTTTTGTTCATGTTGTGTTTTCTGCTGATTTTGTTCCTGTTGTTTGTGTAGAAGAGAGTGTATGCTTGTGAGTTTGTGTGTATGTAAATGTGTGCACACACATGTGGGATTGTAAGAGCAGCCTACCCACTGGATAACCAGGAAGAAAGGGATGCACAATTGTCGTCTCACGAATGGAGAGACTCTGAAGAGAACTGGTCCTGGGGCTCTTTCACTGCAGCCTTCCCCCCACAACCCACCCAAAGTCACCCCTTCCACCTGCACCCTTGGGCCATTCCATCCTGAAAAACTCAGGCTCTGAGAAATGTGGGACTGAAGGCTTGGGTCCGTTGTGTGTTGTACTCATTGAGACAGATCCCAGAGGACTTTCTAAAGGAAAGTGGGACCTGCCATTGGTTTCAAGTGGGAGTCTCTCTGATGGGGAAAGGCAGACCTCAGGCAGGGCAGCAAGACTGGAAACTGGCATTGCTTCTGACAATGTTGCATTTTCCAAGCATCTAGGTGATTCTTCTGATCAGGGAAGTGTGGGACTCACTGCCCCAGAGGGAGGCGACCCTTAGAGGGGAGGGAGAGGCTGACATTTGGGCCATGCATTACTGACCCTGCTTCAGAGAGGACATGCAGAAAGAGTGATGGAAAAACCTCCGTAAGAGATGCTGAAAACAAAAGAAGAACCAGGCTTTCAATGGGCTCTACTTCTTTATTTATACACCAGTCTTCTAACCTTTCTGAATTTCTTACACAACACAAATTCATCTCAAGTTGTACAATCTGTTATCCTAGCAAGTTTGTAATGACAAACCCTATTTTATGTCTTTGACTGTTGCTCCCAATTCTTCTACTTAACCTTGAGAGCAAGAACCATCATGGAGGGGGTGTGCTGCATATATATATATATATTTTAGTTTTACTTTCAAAAGTCTTTATATCTCTTCCAGAAGGAGGGTATAAAGTTACCTCTTAGAACAGATAATACTCAGATTGTCCTGGTGTGTGGCAAACTTGTTCCTTTATTTTTAAAACTCATTTCATCCATGTCCTTTCTTCTTCAGTAACGAAAATAGCACACTATTAATGAAAGAGCAAAAGTGATAATATAGGTGCCTCTGTAATCCTGTTTCGTTTTCACACAACTTTTAATTGGGAGTATGTGAATATATTATGTATATATATTCTGAAAATGTGTTGCATGTGTACACACACACACACACACACACTCACACACACACACACATTCAGAGAAGGCTGATAATGATCTAAAATAGCAGTTTTTCTAGTCCAGCATTTACAATACATAACAACACTCCAACACACTGCAGTGTTTTAAATGGCAGCAGAGGTAAAATCTTCACTAATTATACATTTTAGGGCAGTGAATGCCTGCAGCTCTTACAGTGTTTGGGGACATTTTTGATACAGAAATAGTTCAATGTGGTCTGATTTAAGTGTGACTTATGGATTAAGGAAAAGAAACCTGATCATCATCACTGGTTGTCATCTCCTTTAGCATTTTAGAATGACAAAGCTAAACCCTGTAAAAATGAACTCTTTACCCCATTCCAGTTACCGTCAGTTGCACCATCAGTCCCGAAGGTATGTCGGAGCTCCACACTTAAGACCAGCAAGTGTTCTGAACAAGAGGATCGGTTGCCATGGGAGGTAAGGGCCATGTTGACGCACTGGGATCCGTAGGCTGAACAAGTTCAGTGTTTATTCTTCTTAAAATTAAATTAAAATTATTACTTGTGAGAAGCTGTAGTTTGCTTGCTTTGTTTTGTTTTTAGGGGCAGCTTGGTTTCCTCCACACTCCATGTGTGTGCGTACGTGTGTGGCTCCAGTCAAGGCCGAAGCCCCCTAGTGCATACGTGCGTGGCCGACCAGTATGGCAGCTCCTAGGCTCCCTAAGCTCCCAGAAGCTACACCACTTGAGTCTCTATACTTTTTAAATACAAACCCATGTCTTGGACTCCAGATGCAGAGTATTATGTTAACATACAACAATTATCAGAGACATTCATGGAGCATATAATAACATGGATATTAGCAATGTGGTCTCTAAGTTTTGCAACCTAATGAGAGTGAACAAACATCTGACATCTCAGAGCATTAATATAATTCTGCACTGAGATTATAAAGACTATGAAACTGAATAAAGGAACATACACGACTGCAGTTATTACTCTATAGGGCACAACTAAATGAATATTTTCCATATGCTTAATTCTCACTGATGGAAATTATAGGCATAGAATAAAAACTTCTCGGCGTCTCTTCTGGTACTTCTCTTAGTAATAGTAACAGCAATTACCACAAAAAATTCCACAACTCTAAGGCATTATTACTATAACACAAGTAGAAAAAAACCTCAAGAGGAAGAATTACATTACAAACTGCATAATTAAAAGTTAAACTCTTCTAAAACTTTTCCCAATACAACTTAATTCATCAATAAATGTGATTCTCATTTGTCAACGTGAAATTCAATACAACATTTTGCATATTTTTGCCTCCAATTTTAGGAATGTTATACATTAAATCTATGTTATACAATGTTATACATTGACTCTTTTTTAAAATTTGGTGTTTCCGCTTTATCTTTTAAATATGGAAAATGCCTTCTAAAGAGCTCAGACTTAACTTTGCCAGTTTCTGCTGGCTCCAGTTCACAGTTTTGTAAAAGAAAAGGCAGAGTCCATATGCAGCACCCACTCTGAGGCCCTCAGGTGACTCTGCCTCATGTCCAACAGAGTGGAACGAACTGATCCACCTTGGAGAAGCCACGTCCCGGACTCGTCAAGTGGTTTGTGTGAAATTCTATACATGCGTTTTGCATGCATTTCTGTCATCATCAGCTTCTACATTCACAAATGAAAAACATCATGAATGAAAAAAGAAATCATGGGTGAAGGAGATGTGTCTAACTGGTTGACAGAAACTAAAGGGTCATTTCTCTCATGAGGCAACTGTTTCTTGTGACATTTCCCGTAAGGGAAAACCTCAGCTGCTGCAGCACTGAAGGATTCTTCCATTTTCATCACGTTGAAAGATTTGAAAAACTGGACCTTTGAGAAGAAATACTACAGACTTCCAAATTAGTGAAGGAACTCCCAGCATCACTTGGATACTCTGGGTAGGAGGAACTGGAGGAGATGATGTTTTTGAGCCTCTGGAGGGCAACAATTAAAAGCAGAAGCAGAAATGCTAAAAGGCTGAGGAATATGGACACATAGATGTAGACATTTGACAGGTGGCCTGAGGATGGGTCCACCGATGTGGACAGGGATGTGGGAAATAGCTCAAGGAAAGTTCCATTTTCCACATTTCCTGAAAAAACAGATGAAGAATCAGGTTCAGACATCTTTATAAGGGTCCAAGAATGAACGAGTATATTACAAGTCAAAGTTTCACACAGGAATTAAAAAGGACAGAATCAGCATTTTTTTTTCATGATAGCTTCAGCAAAAATTTCAGGCAGTTTAATCAGTCCAAAAAAGCTTCTTGGTTTTCAAAAAAAGGTAGCAGGGGATCAGGTGTCCACTGATGCTGCAAAAACAAAAACAAAAAAAACAAAGCAACTGAGTGAGTCATTTAGAACATATTACATTTAAATCTAATTGTCAGTCTTCACTTAAGGAAGGCTTAATTATAACACCTACGAAGGAGGGAAAAGAATAAAATAATTTCCCCAGGAACAATGTTTGTGTCTTTACAGTACAAATGACCATATAAAAATTAACTTTTTGGGCCGGCCGAGTGGCTCAGTTGGTTAAGAGCTCGCTCAAGAGTTTGAGCTCTGAGCAACAGCGGTTCGAGTCCCGGCCCAAGCTGAGCAGCCGCTGAGCTGCCAACAGGTGGCAGGATGGCTCAGCTAAAAAACAAACAAACAAAAAAATTAACTTTTTATTTTAACTCAATAGTATCCTAGGTTCCAGGTTTCTCCAAGGAACTAAAGATAAGATTAAAAGGAAAATACATTTCTGATGTGCTCCATCTGCTGCGATTTCAACAGATGCTTCAATTGGTGCTCTGAGAATAGGACCCAAAAAGTTAGTTCCAAACCTCCCTCCTCCAGAAAATTAACTTTGCACATTTCTTCAGCCCACTAGCACAATGCGACCAGTATTTGCCTGTAGTCAATTTTGGAGAATCACAGCTCATGTAACTTTGCTTTTTGCTGAATGTTTATGATAAGGTAGGTAGATAGATAGACATGAGCAGGAGAAATTTAGCCCCGGTTAGAAAGCCCCTTGCTGCAGCTCCTACCTGGGTCAAGACCCCTGGCAGCTGCCCAGGAGGACTCCAGGCTCACACATACTTCTAAATCAAAGAGATGTGTTGTTAGAAGTCAGAGAAGGGGTAACACATCCTGTTGTCAGGATCATCAGTACCTCAGGAGCCCAACAGGATTCCAGGTTTCACACACCCCTAAGGGGTGTGTTTATTCATCCCTCCAAATCAAATGGATGTGTTTACCCATGCCCCTAAATCAAAGGGGTGTGTTTACATATGTCCCTAAATCAAAGAAATGTATTGCTAAGAGAAGACATCCTGGTTATCAGGAGTGAAGAAGCCCAGAGCTGGCTTACCTTCTAATTTGATCTGTTACTTTTGTCAAATTAATGGGTATCTTTCTCAGTTTCCTTAGCTAGATCTATTAATATGAGGTTTTACCAGAACATCTGGAATATTTCTACCGATTCATTTTTCAATATTTCTACCTAGTTTTCTTTCCTATACTGTACATCGTGCTGCCTCTGAGACCATTTTCCCTAAAGACGAACATTTACGTGCTGGAAAAAAAGTGTCGCCAAATCAATATAACACTTGGAATTCTGCTGTGATTCTCTTTCTTTTTAAAGGATTGTTAGAAGCTGGTAGCATTGCAATGAAATTAAAATCATCAGGTAAAACCTAATGTGAGGAGTAGAAATCAAATTATTTCATGAAGTACACACTAAGGCACTGCTTGTGGCCTACTCAGATGGGCTCACGAAGATCATTAGCCTGAGGTACCCCTAACAGGGACAGCCCTCTCAGAAGTGTCCCCTCCATTCCAGGGAGCATTAGTGCCACACTCAGCTGGGGCCACAGCTGCCAGGGTCAGCCTCTCAAAGAATCAGCCTCTTAATTAGATTAGGAGAGCGGAAGGGAAAGGCAAGTTTACATATGAGTATCATTTTCCTGTCGTTTTGGTAGTAAGAATTTTGCATCCTCTTTTTCTAGCACGGGCAAAGAAAAAAGGAAGGGATGATGCATTTTGTGTTTCTCGCATACAAATTACTTTGTAAAGCAGGTAGGGCAGGAATTATTATTCCCATTTTGCAGATGAGGACACTGAGCTGCACAGACATTGCGATTTACTCAGGGTCCACAGCTGGGCAGTGACAGAGAAGTGACTAGAACACATGCCTGAATTGTGTTCTTAGTTTTCTCAACTCTGGTTGAGAAAAATTACGAGACTTGAGTAAGTAGTTCCTATCTGCCATTTACTTTGGACAAGCTAACAGTTTAGTCTTGATATTTCAGTTTTACCATTGATATGGGCCAAGTGAGTAGCCCCTCTCCCACTGAAAAAGTTTGATTTTAAGTTTTCTTTTCCTTCAAGTTTCCTTTTTCCCAGGTTTTTTAAATCTCCTACCCCCTACTTTAGATAAATGCCCTGAAATGTGTGATTCATACTTGTTGATTGTAATCATTCCAAACCTGTTCCAGGCCCAGCTCCTGGGCAATTGACATTATCTGAGTGGCCAGTTGAATGGCCGCAGGCTCTATAACAGCTGACGGATTTTCCATCATGTACAAATTTATTAAAGAAAATCTATTTTTCCTCATTCAGGGGCCTTGGGAATACAGATGATAACCCTGCTGGATTACCAGTCCCAACCAAAGAAGTTCAGGAGACCTCCCCTCTTCGCTCAAAGCTTCCCCTTCTCACTATAATCTACCCCTATGAAGAAATATGGGTACAAAATACCCGACTGGATTAGACCAGTCACCCACACCTGTGCAGTAAAGATCACAGATGACCTTCATTTCACCTGGGCCTCATTATACCATCATTATAATATCATACATATGCCTGGAAGTTCATTAATATCATTATATAACAGACTGAACTCTGGGAAGGAACATGCGCAGTCTAAAAAGATGAGGTAATAGCCTCTTGTCAATCACAGGTGTCAAGCAAGTGATCCCACACCCAGACAGGAACAGCCCAGTCTAGAGAAAAAAAAGGATAAAAACTCCAAGTCCTGACCAGTCAAGGTCTTTTGAGCTCCTTCTTTAGCTCAGCCAGTTCCAAACTCTTTGAAGTGTACTTTTTCTTCTAATAAACTGCTCTTCCACTACTTGACCGTGATATCTTGTTCAATTTTTTGCTCAAGAAGCCAAGAACCTGGACACCGCGCCGAGGAGGGCCCGTTCTCCGGTCATACCATTTGTAAAATGATACTCATATTTCCTACCTCTCCAGGAGGTCCTGAGTTGAGATGTGATAACATGTCCGTAATCATACTTAGAAAATTGTAAAAGACAATCCCAAGTAAAGTACTAGTAGACAGTTCTTTCTGAGTGCCTACGGAGACCAGAGGAACTTCCAAGTCTCCGCGAGTCCTACAGCTCTGACATGTGCATAGAGTCAGCTGCAATTGGCTGACTTTTCTAAGGCCACATTCAATACCCAAATCTGTATCTTTTTCTGGGGCTGGGCTAGAAGCACAGGTGATGTCACTGGAGCATCAGCCACTCAGCGGCAGAGCTCACAGCTGGCTACCAGACCGCTTGTTAAAACAAAGGTATCTTTATATAGTGTAAATGTTCCAAGGGTACCTACACATCCCGAAAATTGCCTTCTTTCACACAAAAAGCCTACTGTGCACCTGATATCTACAGGACAGTTTACAGGAAATGAGACTAAGAAGATTTGGGGAAAGCATCTGATCTTCCAAGGAAGAATGGTACAAATGAACAAATGAAACCTTATGTCTTTATATGACATTTCACAGTTCAATGTCTTTTCCTTTAAAAAACACCCTCCATATTTCAGATTTAATATCATTTCCAAAATGCTTCTTCATTTAATACGACAGATACACACATTTTGTTTCACTGTTCTGCTCCAAAATAGAGTATATGCACTGTGAGAGATTATTTTAATTTGATGACATTGGTTCTTTTCTCATTGAAGTTTTAAAAATGGACAAATCTTTCTCTCTGGTGAATGTTTTGACAGTCTATGTATAATGCTCAGGACCAACCGAATTGTACATGGTTAGACATTGTGACAGTGTGAGTGAGGCTGCAGGTGGCACTGTGGACATGAACTCAAACAAGTGTGTTTTAAGATGATGCTTCTTGGTCTCCTAAACACTGTTCGTTTCTTTTCTTTAAAGAAGACAGAGCCTTCATCTTAAATGCATAGCCTTGACCTGTCTCCTGGCAGCGCCAGCGGACTCTCATTTCACCTGAAGGCACGTGGGGATTGTGATACTTTCACTCTGAGCGATTCTCAGAAAGGATAATGAGACAGCTGGATCACAATACCATAAATGGAGATCTGTGGAAATATGTTTTGGTTCATGGTCAGCCAGCTTTCCCTTTGTCTCTTAGAATCAGAAACTGTGCTGGGGAGAAGTCGACAAAAGGCAGTCACCTACGGAAGCCAGGAAGAATGGACTTGTAATCTCACCATGAGCCCAGTGGGGTGGGGAGATGGAGGGACAGCACAGAAAGGCAGACCTGTGGGGTCTCTGGTTCCATATCACTCAGCACCATGCTTCACGTGACTCCTCTGAAAGAATGGAAGCATGCTTTCTTGTGGGGTGATTATGAGAATTATAAAGTTTTGGAAGAAAAAAAACCACTCTGAACTGTACCTTCATGCCCAGTAAAAGGAAAAACAGCTGACAGGCCCTTATCTCTAAATCCTTTCACAGAAGCATCCCAAGCGCCCTGCGGCCAGCCTGTGGTGGGACCTGAGCCAAGGTCTCCACTTCTGCAATAGATGGTGTGTTGAACTAAGCCTACAGTCAGCCTCAGAGCTAGCACAGCAATTTCTGAGTTTCTGACCCCTAATCAAACACATTTCTGTGTGACTAACAACTATTTGAAAGGTTTTTTTGTTGTTGTTGTGGAAAACTGGGACAAGCTGCTTTTTTCCTTGGCAGACATTATTTACAGACTACCCTAGCTGTGATGATGTGGAATCATTTTATCAAGCCCTGCTGTGTCAATCATTCTCCAAAAGGTGGTCCTCCCTAAACGATTAGTAACAATTTGATAAAGTGTTAAGAAGACACAGTAAAATGTTTTTCCAGTCAACAAATGTAAAATTTGATATTATAATGTAATGAACAGTTTTAGATGATATATTGGATCTGTCCCTGTAGAATACATAGAAACTACCATTTCCAGAATCTAGAAGAGACCTTATCACATCTGAGCAAAGCCGTTTTAGTTCTACTCAGAAAATAGCATGTTTTATATAAGACCTCAAGCCATTCCTTTACAATTTGCATGATTATCTTCTCCCTTAATGTGTTCTC